GGGTCTCAAATGGAAATTTGTTGAAAGGAATGGCTATGTGGAAGTAAAGGTATTAAATTTAAAAATTTTCTTTTATTGTTATTTCAAATACTTGAAATCCACTTACATGGGCCAAAATAAGTTGCTGTAAAATAAAGTCCTAGACACAACCTAAGATCTTTATTTTTTATTGCCAAGAGAAATAGAAGCTATCCAGGAGCTTTAAACTAACTTCTACCTTAATTTTTAACGCAAAATAAGTTCCTAAAAATTTACAGAAAGTAGGAAATAATATTGTAAATTAATTTAAAACTACTGGGAAGACTTACTGGAAGATGCGTGAAGTTACCTTGTCAGGACTTGGTACACCCTATACCAGATTTCCTGACCAATGGTGCACTTTTGTTCCTTAATGTATTTCTGGAAATTCTGAGATAGGGAAGCTTTACAGGCAATACTTCTTTCTCTAAGGTTTTAGTGAGTTAAAAAGTAAATTAGGATTTATAGAAACCCTATAGGAACAAATTAGGGCTGAATCTGTTCCTTGATCTCTCTCTAGGCTGGGTTTCTCTCTTTTTTTTTTCAAAATACAGCAAACATTGCTCTAGGGTTTCTCTATAGCCTTACCTATATTTTTTTGAAGATAGAATATAGAGGAGAGAAAGGGTGGTGTGCCTCCTCAAGGGTAAAGAGAGGGGGGCACATGATAGAGAGAGATCTCCACTTTTTTGTGTATGAAGGTAAAGAGGAGAAAGAGAGATCTTGAAGGAATGGAGAAGAGAGACTTGGGGTCTGAGAAAGAAAGGGAATCTAGTATTGGGAGAGAGAAAGATCTTGTAATATAAGAGAGAGCTCAAAGTAGATTCTTTTATAGAAGGAAATCTATATCATAATTTGAATAGGATTCTTTCTAAGTATTGTCTTATCCAGTTTCCAGCTAGACCTTTAGGATAAATAGAAAATCTGTGGGGTGAAAAAGATTTATTTAGAGCCATTCATCCCAAAAATCAACCATCATGATTTTGAGTGGAAAGATAGAAACTTTATCCCTTAATACTTTGACTCAATTCAACTCCAATTTAAAATTGAAATATAATCAAATTTAAATATTATCTAGATCTTCCATTTAAATTTGAAATACAATCAAACTTAAGTATTATCTAGATCTCTAGATTTCCCATAAGGGTAGGAAACCAAATCTAATTTAAATTAGATTTTTCTATCTTAACTAAATTAAATTTTAAAACTTGAACCAAATCAAATAGCAAAAACATGGGGCGTGCCTCCCCCTTTTGCTAATTACGTGGCGTGCCACTATTTAAAATTTGAAATAATTATTTTCTTTTAAAAAAATAGGGCGTACCCCTTTGTTCCACTAAGAGTGGCATGGCCCCTCCTAAGGGCTTAGAAATCCTATAAAAGTGGTGTGGCCTCCTAGGTGCATAGAAAGTGGCATGCCACCCTAGGAGCCCATGTGGGCCCCAGATGGATGGCACACACATGAGGGGGCTGGATCCTTGGTCCCCACATGTGTTGTGTAAAGTTCTGAAAATTCAAAAAATCCTTTTAATGAAAAATAAGCAGAGAAAAAGTATTTTAAAATTATAAAAAAAAATTAAAAATCATAAAAACATTTCTAATACCAAAATAAAATATACTAGGAGTGGATTGGTACCAATGGCTCAAACTAAGTGACAATAATGACACTCCACTTGCCCTAGAAGTCATGATCCACTAACGTTCTCTTATCAAACCCAATAAAGTACCCTAACCTACAGTTTCTTTGCAGGGGCTCATGATTGAATTGTCAAAGTTGGATAATAAACAGTGGGACCATAATCCTGGTATGTAGATTTCAGTTCATCTCTTTAAAAGCAAAGTTGGACAACAAACAATGGGACCATAATCTTGGAGTGTGGATTTCAATTCCTCTCTTTAAAAGCAAGTTTAACACTTGTCACTACAATGCAAATGAGGCTCTCTCTATGCACATGTACATGTGTCCCTCTATAGGGCAGCTTTCCATGTGGCTGTCATGTGTACATGCTGTACAGAAGTTGGTTGAGGCTTTGGCCCTTGCTCTCACAAGCCTACAACTGCATACATAAGACCATACAGTTCACTTGGCCTATAAACATGATCCCTGGGCATCTCTCCGACCGTAACAAGGGACGACTCACTCCAAATCCTTTTCAGTTGTGCCACATGCCCAGGGCTATGGGTTTTAGATGTGACTAGGGCTATAAACCTCCCAACCCTTGGTCAGTCAATACACATTCCCACTGAAGTGCATGTTCCACTATACATAACATTTTTACAAGCTTTCGAGACCTTTAAAGGCCACAAAAATCCAGGACTTACTACATGAGATCAAGAAGCTCTCTTTTAGGAATAGTCACCAACTCTTCAAGTTCAAAGGAAGTAGCATCTTGTTGCCCATGCATTGCAGGAGCAGTACCTGTACTAATTGTTGCTGAATTTGCTTGAGAAAAGTTACATCTAGGGCGTCCAATCAGATCCCAACATGTATCACGTGTGTGTCGATTCTTCCTACAATGAGTGCACTTTTAGATTTGTCCTTTTCCTTAAATGTAGGGCTCCTATGACCACGGCCTCCACCTCGATTCCCAAAACATCCTCCACCTCGATTACCTCTTGAGAGTGGAGTAGATCTTTTTGGTTTGCCTATAGGCATTGCCATTATTTTGCGGCAAGTTTGCTCATGTAGAAGGAGAGAGAAAACAGTTCTAAGTGATGGTAAAGTCTCATCACCCTAGAAAATTTGTCTTAACGGTAACTCTTCTCAAAAGATAAAAAAACCTAACTTTGTTTTTTTTGAAGTTAACTGTTAAAAAAAAAAAAAAACCAAACATTGTTCAATCTCTCTTTGTTCCTTTGCACAAGGTTAGCACTGTTTATGGTAATAATAGCTCATTTCTTCCTAAAAACCACAAAGATGAGCATAATAATCTCCCACTGACGCGTCCCCATGTTTAAACTATTGATTTGTTGCTCCAATTCATATATCTTTGTAGGACTTTCTTTTGGGAATAAGCCTCAGAAACTGCATATTGCATTTCCTTAAAGGTATTGCAATTCATAAACATTCGATTCAGACTAGGCTGCATGGTGACCAATTCAGAATTCTCATATCATTAGTCTCCCAATCTGCATATTTAGGATCCTTGAGATTTTGGTTTTCAACTCGACCTTCAATATATCCCAATTTTACTTTCCACTAAGAAATAATCTAATTGACCTGACCCATTCTAAATAATTTGTGCCATCAAATGTCACTGTGGTAATTTGGAGTCGAGATTGTTTCATATGTTTGTTGAGACATCTTCTACTGTTGTTGAGGTCTTAGTTAATACCCTCAGATCAGGTTATACCCTCAGATCTCTTAAAAAAAAAAAAGATTTACAGATCTGATTACACCCTCAAATCTAATTACACCTCTTTTCTATTCAAAAGAACATCTTAGATCTTTTCTAAAAAACGATTAATAAATCTGGTTACACCCCCAGATCTGATCAAAAGAGCATTAAAAACACTGCTATTAATGTTTTCTTGATTGGGGTATATAAACCCTAATCCATCAGTGATTTAGATTTTATCTTTCACATGATCTATATTAAGAAATCACAAAAAGAACTCACCTTGATCAACAGAATCCTTGTTGAGAAAAAAATTAGGGTTTTAGGGCATGATGGTGTCATTTAATCATGCCGATGACCATATCCCCACTCACATTTTCTTCGCACTTTAGCTTGCTTGATACCAAGTTGAAAATAATATAAGGCAAATTAAAGAAGAGAAAAGGAAGTAGAAGTAAGATATTATAGTAAAGGAGGAAAAAGGAAGAAGAAAGAGGAGAGAGAAAGAGAGACATGAGGATGCATAACACATGTTTGGTTAGCATAAAATACACGTGAAAATACATCTCATATGAAATGTTTTTACCACATAATAGCCCATTCAATGTGAAAGCAACTCTTCACGTCTATAGGTGTATTGCAACATCCTATGAAACCAATTCCCAACGGATCTGATTGCTAACCAATGCTGTTAACACTGGACCTGTGGCTGAGACAATGGGGGCACTGGCTCTGTTGGACTGGACATGTTCATCGGTCTTGTTCATAAAATTAGAAAAAGAAAAATACAAAAAGTAAGGAAATATAAGGAAAATATGGAATAATCAAGAAAAAATAGAAAAACAGGAAAGTTTCAGAAAAATTATTGGAAACAAAACAATGGAATATTTTTCATCTATAAACTTTTTTCAGAGTTCCATTGAAAATGTTAAAAGAAAATAAAATAGTAAACAACAGATAAAAGCAAATAACCAAATAAACCTAATTCTAACTTCTAAAAATGCATATGATGTATAAAAAAAGCAAAAACCTACAGCAATATACTTATTAAGGCAACAAAACTACTAAATTGAATAAAGGAAACAATCTATTGCATTGATCTGAGGAAAATAAATAAATTTCTCACGAAAACCTTATAAAGATCCATTTTTTCTTTTTTCTGAATTATAGAACAAACAAATCAAGAAAATAGTGTAATAGTTTTTCAGATGTGTTCACCAAACATGGGAAAAAGCGGCTTGAGAAACTCTTTCTTGTAAACTGTTAGCATTCGTAAATACTTTACATTAGCAACCTGTTTCGTGCAATCCAAAGTACCCCAAGTACATTGAGTTAGAAAATTACTTGATTTGGGAGTAGTATGCTCTTGGACAACTTACTCTAATTTGTATCCACTTATGGGCATAAATTCATGCAAGATAATTAGAATGCTAGGATTCACAGGTGACACGAGTTCTTGGTCCCTCCCTCCCTTCCTCTCTCTCTCTCTCTCTCTCTCTCTCTACATGGATTACTTTAAAACTGATAGATGCATATTTTTGCTTTAGCCTAATATATTATGTTTAATTAATATTTGTTTTTCTTTAACAACAAAACACATTATGTTTCTTGTTGTGATAATTCATTGGCATTGATGACTCCCAGGTGAACTACATAAATGCACATGCGACGTCAACGCTTGCAGGGGACTTGGCGGAGGTAAATGCAATCAAGAAAGTCTTCAAGAACACTTCTAGAATCAAAATTAATGCGACCAAGGTAGATTCACTTTCTTAACAACTGCTAGCTCCTACGTCTTAATAATAATGATGATATTTAATGATGGCAATGGTGATGGCTATCTGGCTCACATTTACTTTGTGTCTATGCCTTTGTAGTCTATGATAGGGCATTGTCTAGGAGCAGCAGGGGGCTTAGAAGCCATTGCAACAGTGAAGGCCATTACTACAGGATGGTTACACCCCACTATAAATCAATTTGTAAGTTCTGGTTCTTTTCTCTCTCTCTCTC